TGATAATTAAGGTCACTTGATATTTAAGGTCACTTGATGATAATTAAGGTCAGTTGATAATTAAGGTCAGCTGATGATAATTAAGGTCAGTTGATGCTATTTAAGGTCAGTTGATAATTAAGGTCACTTGATGATAATTAAGGTCGGTTGATGATAATTAAGGTCAGTTGATGGTATTTAAGGTCAGTTGATAATAATTAAGGTCAGTTGATGGTAATGATAAATCATCATACATTTCTTCTAACCAAAGTCAGGAAGTTCCTCTGAACTTCAGATGAAATAATTCATATAGTGTTATTGCCACACCATTAAAAGTATTCATCTCTGAAATAATGAAAAGCAACATACATCAAAGAGGTTATATTGTGGGATGGTATGTGATCCTAATGCCTTCAGGGCCTCCCCCTCCTCCTGCCTCTGCTTCCATCACCTCTTCTCCTTCTCTGAGCTCCTCTCCAAGTGGATCAGCTCTTTAAATTCATGTGACTCCAGGATTCCAGACACGTTTCCCATTCTTCCCAAAACAACTGTTGTGTTAATGAACATACAGCGAGGCACAAAACCTCCTGCCAAGCATGAAGGTATCCAGAGCAGCTGCTGCAGGGCTTTCATACAGAGCTGCCTAAAGGTAATCATTTCCCACAGAGTCATTAAAGGGACAAATGATGTCATGCCTAAACACATGCCCATTGGCTGAGACTAGGAGGTCAGAGACGGCTCATTGGACACGTAGAGACCCTTCAAGACTTTTTGATCCACCGATTTTTCTCCAGTTGTTGCGGCGCATTTAATAAAACACAGGTCTGCTAGATCTCCACCGTCACCTTCTGAGATCAACGTACGTTTTAATTATGTCATTTCAAGCAAGCCTCTCACAAAACAAAATGTAAGGACTGTTAAAGAAGAGCACATGACTAAATCAGTACCATCAGTAAAACAATCCCAGCTTTTGGTTTGGACTGAAGCCACGGTGACTAGAATAAAATGTAAAAACTAACCAGATAGAACCTGGATGGGTCTTTGCATGGGGGGGGGGGGGGGGTGTCTCCAGGACGCAACAGGTTCTGTAAAGAGTGGTGGTTTATCAGACTGATGGCAGCGTGTCAAGGTCCCGGGTGGAGTGTGGGGGTGGTGGAAGCTGCACGGCCACCTGGGCCAGGTGCACCGCTGTGGTTTGGACAGTGGGAGTTTGAAGCAGGACTGGCCTCAAGCCTCAGCTACAACTGAGATCAGGACGAGGTGATGAAACCACCCAAGGGAGACATGACCTGGTCCACCGTGACCCAGTCCAACCGTGAACATCATAAATGACTTAATTCAAACTTAAATTTAAACAAAGTGGAATGATTCCAGCAGTTTGCAACAGTTTATACGATGGAGAACCTGGACACCAATGACTGAAATGTTTTTAGATAAGAACCCCAGCAATAATTTTATTAGTTCAATCACTGCACTGCAAATTTCACTTTAACAAAAAAAGAGGGATTCACTAGCCTGAGAAAAGCTGCATTTCTATTCAAAACGGGTGAAATAAATATTTTTACATCAAAACAAATCATCCTGATTTTCTCCTCAAACATTTAAAATCAGGTCTAATTTTCAAATACGTTGTATAAAACCTGCGACAAAAGGAATGACATAAAAACAACCTTATTTTTTAGATTATAATACAAAGCATCACTTAACTTACAGAAATGAAATTTACACAAACTTTTCATCTTATTTACATTTAAACTGTACACAATAATAAAAAAAAGGTTTTGCTCTGATAGAAAGGTTAAACTTTAAACTTCTTTCCCTTTTATAAAGTTTCTGTATGGGTGTAAAAAACAAATTAAATACTGTGGAACCACAAAGAACCTCTGAAAGGCAGTGACTTATAAAATATCTGCAGGAAACAATAAGCCTCAACTCAAGCTAAATATTTATAAAAGTAATCCCACATGTGTGTGTGCACACACACATGTGGGATTACTTTTATAAATATTTAGCTTTGATCTAACAAGCTAGGACGGATTCATCCAGAGGACCTGACTCCACCTTGTTATATCTGAATACCTGGATTATTGAGCATGCACCAGGAAAAGATTATATATATATATATATATATATATATACACACACACACATAAAATTAGAACATTGTGAAAAAGTTGATTTATTTCAGTAATTCCATTCAAAAAGTGAAACTTGTATATTATATTCATTCATTACACACACATACTGACATATTTCAAATGTTTATTTCTTTTAATGTTGATAATAACTGACAACTAATGAAAACTCCAAATTCAGTATCTCAGAAAATTAGAATATTACTTAAGACCAATTTAAAAAATGGGATTTTTTAGAAATGTTGGCCAACTGAAAAGTATAAACATGAAAAGTATGAGCATGTGCAGCATCAATACTTAGTTGTTGCTCCTTTTGTCTGGATTACTGCAGCAAAGCGTCGTGGCATGGAGTCCATCAGTCTGTGGCTCTGCTCAGGTGTGATGAGAGCCCAGGTTGTTCTAATAGTGGCCTTCATCTCTTCTGAATTGTTGGGTCTGGTGCATCACATCTTCCTCTTCACAATACCTCATAGATTTTCTATGGGGTTAAGGTCAGGCCAGTTTGCTGGCCAATTAAGAACAGGGATACCATGGTCCTTAAACCAGGTACTGGTAGCTTTGGCACTGTGTGCAGGTGCCAAGTTCTGTTGGAAATGAAATCTGCATCTCCATAAAGTTGGTCAGCAGCAGGAAGCAGGAAGTCTCTAAAACTTACTGGTAGACGGCTGCATTGACCTTGGACCTCAGAAAACACAGTGGACCAACACCAGCAGATGACATGGCCCCAAACCATCACTGACTTTGGAATCTTGACACTGGACCTCAAGCAACGTGGATTCTGTGCCTCTCTCTTCCTCCAGACTCTGGGACCTTGATTTCCAAAGGAAATGCAACATTTACTTTAATCAGAGAACAAAACTTTGAACCACTCAGCAGCAGTCCCAGGCGAGACATTTCTGATGTGGTCTCTTGTTCAAGAGTGGCTTGACACAAGGAATGCGACAGCTGAAACCCATGTCTTGCATACATCTGAGCGTGGTGGTTCTTGAAGCATCGACTCCAGCTGCAGTCCACTCTTTGTGAATCTCCCCAACATTTTGGAATGGGTTTTGCATCACAATCCTCTCCAGGGTGCAGTTATCCCTATTGCTTGTACAATTTTTTCTACCACATCATTTCCTTCCCTTCGCGCCTCTATTAAAGTGCTTGGACACAGAGCTCTGTGAACAGCCAGTCTCTTTAGCAATGACCTTTTGTGTCTTGCCCTCCTTGTGTAAGGTGTCAATGGTCGTCTTATGGACAACTGTCAAGTCAGCAGCCTCCCCCATGATTGTGTAGCTACAGAACTAGACTGAGACCATTTAAAGGTCTTTGCAGGTGTTTTGAGTTCATTATCTGATTAGACTGTGGCACCAGGTGTCTTCAATACTGAACATTTTCGTAATATTCTAATTTTCTGAGATACTGACTTTGGGGTTTCCATTAGTTGTCAGTTATAATCATCAACATTAAAAGAAATAAACATTTTAAATATATCAGTATGTGTGTAATGAATTAATATAATATACAAGTTTCACTTTTTGAATGGAATTACTGAAATAAATGAACTTTTTCATGATATTCTAATTTTATGACCAGCACCTGCATGTACACAGTATATACACTATATATATATATATATATATATATATATATATATATATATGTATATATATATGTATATATATGTGTAAATACTGTATGTATTTACACAGTATACATATACACACACACAGCAGGGTTCTTTGTGTCAACAATGTATATACTAAGTGAGTCTATACAAAACTGTAATTTTGTCTAATAACATGATTTTTTCATGGAGTACAGAATCAACAGACACAAACAGCTGCCAGACTGGGAGGTTTGCCTAAATCTCAAAAATATGTTGATGTGAATCAACAATGTCTGTAAACAAAGAAATAATATTAAGAACATTTGTGATTCCATCATTGTGACAAATAAAACTCCTGAAATCCAGAAGCTGTGATTTATTTTTCACGCCTTTTTTGGTGTTTGTTATTTAGTGTTTGTGGTTTTAAGAAAGACTCCATGCTGCAGAGAAAGGATTTTAAATAAAGAATTTAAAAAATATTAAAGCGTTTGTAATCTTCACTTTTGGTGCAATGATGAGTTCAAGTCAGTGACGGTGAAGAAGGTCCCTCCTCCTCCTCCTCCTCAGTTTGTCACACGTAGTGGTCGTTAATGTTCTCACCGAGCTTTGCAGTGTTCAGGTTTTTACATCGGTTGTCTTTGAGGCTGTACGCCGTCCGATGTGGCACCTTCACCGGCCCACTACCATTCAAGATAAAGCCCCTGTTCTGGGCCTCAGCTACGGGGCACCTCTGAGGTGGATGCTTGTCCCTCATGCCCAGTGCCCACTCCTTATCTTCCTCCTGTTCTCCCTCACCAGTCTGTTCCTCCTCCTCTTCTGCCTCGTCACACGTCCTGTCAGCAGGACCCATCAGTTTTTTGCATTCATATGGAATGTCTCTGTCCCGGTTGGTCTTTACGTTATTGCTCTGCAGCGGTTCCACCTGGTTGTTCACCGTGGTTTCCTCTGATTGAGCTGCTCTCTCGCGCTCTTTCTTCCTCTTGCGGGTCCACCAAACACAAACCACGATGCAGAAGATCCACAGGATGCTGAAGACCACACACAATACAGGGACCAGATAACCTGAAAGAGGCAGGATGAGGACCGGTTAGAAGACCTCAGTAATTAACCAAAAACTGATTTTAAAGTTTGCATCGTCCAGATTAGATGGATTTCACAAGTTTCTATAGAATTTGTACACAGACCCTATTGTATACAATTCATGAAGAAAAGGTGGGTTTATTTCTTTGGGTTTAGGTTTTTATACAAAATAATGCTACAACAACCCACTGTTGTCCAAAATACCCTGAAAACAAACTAATATTTCCAAACTCCTGTGATGTATTTTCACTCACTGACAGTAAACTTTCAACATCCAGAAGGAACGCTGTGATTAAGACATATTGTGGTCCATATGTAGACCAGTGATGGGTCTGAAAATGATTTGATTTGCAACAAGCACCAGAGGACCAGCAATAGCATCAGGAGTGAAAAATGATGTAATCTGGCAGTTGCATCACTGCTCTGGATGGAGCCCAACAGTGGTTAGATTGTGAGCTTACACAAGGCTGGTTGGTTGGGTCATGGAGCTGACTGACATGTGGGGTGTACAAATGTGAACAACCCAATGGTGGAAACAAAGGGTACTTGAGGGTAATGGACTACAGTGACCCAAAGTTGGAAGGAGTCCATAAGGTTTGCAAAACACGCTGTGAAGGTTCCCATCAACCAAGACGGACTGCACTACAAGAAGATTGTTGTGTTGTACATCAAACATTACAGAACCCCAGGACATCTGCATCTGTTGTAGGACTCAGGTGTTGGAGTTTTTATAATGCACCACCTCACACTGTGTCTGAACTAATGGCATCAGCTTCACTAAAGCTTCAGGCTCTACAGGCTGCCAACACCAGAGAGGAGACAGATGTGTTTACAGTGGTCCTGAAGCTGGGTGCCATGTACAGATGTTAAGGGGCATTGCATCATGTTCAATGGTTCTGCACTGACACAGAAGACCATTGTGTGCTCGTATGGTGGCACCAAGAGGTGAAGATCAGTCTTGCCAAGGATTTCGGAAAACCCTCCGGTGTTCCTCCTGGTATTAAGGTGGGTTAGCTATGGGCTTTGGCTTCATGTCTCTTCTGTACCGATTCTGGGAACAGGACGGCACGTGAGTGATATCTTGCATGTCAGACTGGTCCATAGACAGAACCCTGGTACAGTCTTTGAACTAGACAACACCCATCCATCTGTGTGGATGGGTAAATGAGAACACTGGTTGTGAGCGCTTCAAGTATATTGACTAGATAGAAAGGTGCTATATAAAGACAGTCCATTTACCATTTGATATGAGCTCAGGCCTTTGGAACGTTAACCGAGTTAGTGCCATGTTAAGAATAAAGGCAACTGATTACAAATACAAGCTTGGGGACTAGTTTCCTACTGATTTCAAACTTTATGTTTAGACAAACACATCAGATCTTTATTTGTCTTAAATAAAACTTCATCATCTTGAATCAGATTTAAAAAATGAATAAAAACATTGGGTTTGGATAAAAAGTGCTTAATTTGAGCCAGATCCTGCCAGAACAGGATCCCTCTCTTAAACTCTTATTTTGACAGGGTGCATTCCGGTAAGTGTTTGCTTAGATCTGTTAACTCACAGGCTTACTAATAATAAAGTTATGAACAAATTTGACTGCTTTGAATGAATAAAACCTATTTTGGACATGCAAACTGAAAATAATTACATGAAAACTAATTTTAAACGTAATAGCCACTTACGAGCTTCCTAACATCACATGAGATCTACCTTTTCAAATAAGCATTTCCGCCTCTACCCTTAAAATAATCTCCGCACCTAGAAGTACAGTCATGGCAGTTTAATTAAAAACACAAAAACATAATTAAACAGCACAACTAAATATCAAATCAGTATTACAGTTAAGTGGGTCCTTAATAAAATTTTGATTATTAAAAATATGAGAAATGTCTGATGGGTAATCACATGACGTAAGTCATGCATCAAAACAACGGCACCAATTTACCAAAATAACATTGATCAAAATGTCGAGAAGACAGTCCAATTTACTTTCATAAAAAAAGTCTTATTGTACAATTAAACAACTGAGAATTGAAGCACATGAAGGCAGCGGCAATGGAGATAGTACTGGAGCAGGTACGAGGATGCTTGAGAGAAGTGGGGCATCTATTCACACAAGGGGAGCTGTTGGTCAGGCTACTTCTTGTTGCTCTTTATGTTATTGAATTAGTGTTTACTTACTGGGATGTAGGTAAATGTAGATGTTCAACAACCCGTTAAAATACACCAGAATGCAGGAAATGGCATCTACTTTATAATTTCCTGAGGGAGAACCCCTCAGACGCCCCCCCCCCCCCAATTTGTATTCTGGCATCATTTGGTTTTCAAATTAAGCGCTGGTTTAAAAATGTACACTTAATGTGAAATTTCTCTTGAGTTTCCATAAAAAGTGACATTTCTTCCTAATCTGAGGATTGTACGTCTTTACAGGCTCAGAAGAATTGGGCTGTCGGCTCCTCTGTGTCGTCAACACTCACCTACAGAAGGGCACTCCACCTTCACCTCCACTTTGGCCTCCACCACAGCCTGCAGGACAGTGGTGTTGTGGCGTTTTGACAAAGCGTCAGTGATGGCACTAGCTGCTCTCTGAATCTGTCCACAGTCGCTGTCCTTCGATCGTCCATCTGTCTCAAAAGACTGCGAAGACAAAGACAGAGAAATAAACTTGCACCATCTGCAAAACAGGACAGTTTTTAAATCATTTAAGTTGTTTGACCCGAATTACAATCCAGCTGTTAAATATAATTTCAGCTATAGGATATTTTCATTGTTTTTTTTTTTATTTCTGCTACACTATAGACAGTCCAGGTGAGAACCATGAAATATAATCTGTCTAGGTTATCCAGGGGTGTTGCAGGTGTGTCAGTGATGGAGTTCTGGAGGATCATTCTGTGTTAGTTTTGAGCTGATTTGGAGTTTATTGTTGTTAGTCATGCTTTCTTTGGTTTCCTGTGCTCAGAAAGTGTCTGTTTACTGTGCATTTGTAAGGTTTGGTGGAGGATTGGACCCAAATGCAGAAAGACACATGGAGCTCAAAGGTTAAACTAGAAAAAAGAATCATTTTTAATAAAGCAAAACAAAAAGGCTGTCGTGGCAGCAAAAATAAGCTAATACCAAAAACTTCAAACGATTGCAAGAGAACACGAAAACACAAACCGCTGAAGTGCAGAGGCCAAGTAACGCTGAACCGATGAGTTGAAACAGGCTGAATAAGTAGAGCAGAGAGATTAGAGGAAAATGGAAACACCTGGGCTGATTAGGGACAGGTGAGGGTGGTAGACTAAGTGGAAAAACACTGAGGAAGCTGAGGGTAAATGAGAAATGGCACGAGGAACAATGAAGTACAAATACATCAAAGGAATGGGCCTAAAAATTCAACTCAATGAACTAAATAACAGAAAAACAGAACTTTGACCGTTTTAAAAGTGTAGATTAGTGAAACCCTCTTTTTTTTTAGTGGTGCAAGGATAACATCTGGCATAATCTCTTGGGCCTATAGTTCCAAAACTATGGTATCCACATGGAAAACCAATAGCTGCCATTCTTTAAAAATGGCTGCCTTTGGAAGTCGTTTTTTGTCATTTTGACCTGAATTAAGATTGAATTGTTAAAATTTCCAAAACTTTGCATCAAAATACAAGTTTTTGGATATGCTAAATATAATTCTGGCGTCAAAAAAGTCACTTATATGAAAAATTGCAGATGTAAAAGTGTATTAATAACATAAATGAGGAACTTGAATGTCTTGTGAGGTTACAATATGAAAACGGTAATAATAGATTTTAATAGATTTTGATTGGTAACACAAAGCCTGTCATTGAAAATCTTACAATGACACAAATATATTACTCTACTCATTACAGTTGCACGAAGCTGAGTGCACTTGAAACCAAAGCGGTTTGGATCCACCACAACAGTCAGTTGTGCATGAATAGCTGAGCCATTCAAGTTTTACAAAGAAAAAGCTGTTGTTGTTTTTTTTACATACAAAACAGCAGCCATGTTGATAATGGTTGCAATTTTTGATTTTCAGGTGTATACCGTGATTTTAATAAATAAGAGATCCTAGGTACTTATTCATGCTAATTTGGGGCTTTTACCACCGAGTGAAAATTTATTGTGGAATATTGACTTTATCTGCTGCAACTCTAACTGGCTGGGACACTGGTCAAATCCTCTGGTCTCCTTCAGCTCCTCTGGGTTTCCCTCAGCTCCACTGGTTTCCCTCGGCTCCACTGGTTTCCCTCAGCTCCACTGGTTTCCTTCAGCTCATCTGGTTTCCCTCAGCTCCACTGTTTCCCTCAGCTCCTCTGTTTCCCTCAGCTCCACTGGTTTCCCTCAGCTCCTCTG